GCGATGGCCGCAGTGTCACCGCTGCTCCCCGCAGCTCTGCACGAGTGGCCGGGCTGGCCGGGTGGAAGCTGTGCTGAAAGCAGAAGTACCCACAGCTCCTTCCTCACCACCTGCACCCACAGCCCTGCGTCCCACAGCTGCGGGCACAGGGGCGGCCGGGCCACACGCCTCCTCCAGACAGAACCATCGCCGTGCCCTCAGCCGCTCCCTTAAGAATTGTGCTCCAGAACCTTCGTGGCCAACGCTGCCATCCCTGCTTCCCGAATGCAGTCGGCCTTTTGGTCTGTAGCTGGTCAGATGTCTTAATGTGCAAGAGCCTGGTTGTAAGTAGCATTTTGCCTTTTGGAAGTGCATAGTTGAATAGTTGATACAGTTGATCACTTTCGGTTTTGGAGTAGAGCTTCTGGTTATTACAGTTTCTGGTTGTTTCAATTTGTGGTGTAGCTTTCAGCATTTTAAGGTAGATCACTGGGGTGTTTTTTTTAGTATAAAGCTTGTTTTTAGACTTGTTTGGGAAGTGTCATGCTTATTGCATGGCTTAAATTCCCCCATAAATCCTAGGAAAGTGCAGGACTTCCTATTTGTAACATACAGTGTAAATGCTGTGGTGAAGGAATAATCGCGTCGGTAAGCTTTTACTACCAGGAACAACTTCTGCAATTTTAATGTTGGACATGTGAGTGCTTTGTAATACATCAATCGATAGCGATGGATTGAACGCCCAGCAGTCCTTCCTGCTGGACAAGAGGCAGCCTGACCTTTTCTTGTTTTCATTTATGAGTGCGCATCCATCTAATGCTTTCAGATAATGAGAACTATTACCAGTTTTGTGAAGGAGATTGAAACGTAACAACGAATACAAAAAAAATGTTCATCAGTCATATTTCTTTATCCTGATGTATTTTATTTAGAGTTGCTCCTTGAGGAAAAGGGGCTTTTTAAACTTTTTTCAAAGTTTATGGACTTTGCAGTACAATTCCCTGGCTGGAAAATAGCATTAGTGTAAATTAAGACAAGACTGGGTATGGGCTTTGTACGTTGGTACAGGAATGGCCCTGACTGCTGGTAGGAATCAGGTTGCAGTTTGATGAGGGATATACATCTTGGAGAACTGATGTCAGAAAAACACCTTATTTCTGCACGAGGCAGTGATGGATGCACTCCTGGGGGCACTTTCTTTGTGATATTACCTCTTCATTATTTATCCAGGCTTCTCGCGCCAATCTGGATGCATTCAGTTCAGGTGTAATGCTGCTTTGAGGTGGCTGTGCTGAAACTGTACATGGGACAAAGGCATCAGAGGGGGGCTGCCTGGAAGCCCCCTGAGCTCTGGGGTTGTGCTGCCTTCCCACTACTGCCACAGCAAGACCCTCACGGAAATAGCCTTTAAAACACCGCTCCCAACACTGCAGCCAGCAAAACATGTATCTTATGCAGAATATCTGGGTTGTCAGTGACCTTACAGTAATGTTCACAAGAATCACACGGTTGGATCATCCAGTCCAACCGTCTCCTCATCACCATTGCCACCACTAGCGCTAAATCATATCACGCAGCACGTCATCCAGATGCGTCTTGATCACTGCCAGGGACGGTGACTCCACCACCTCCCTGGGCAGCCATTCCAGTGCCTGACTACTCTCTGAGAGAAGAAGTTCTTTCTTATGTCCAACCTGAACCTCCTCTGATACAACTTGCGGCCATTGCCCCGTGTCCTGCTCGTTGCCTGGGAGAAGAGGCCAGATCCCTCTTCACCACAACCTCCCTTCAGGAGGTTGTACAGTGCAATGAGGTCTGCCCTGAGCCTCCTCTTCTCCAGACTGAACAATCCCAGCTCCCTCAGCCGCTCCTCTTAAGGTTTGTGCTCCAGACCCCTCACCAGTTTTGTTGCCCTTCTCTGCACACGCTCCAGGATCTCAACATCTTTCCTGTAGTGAGGGGCCCAAAATTGAACACAATACTCGAGGTGCGGCCTCACCAGTGCTGAGTACAGGGGGATGCTCACCTCCCTGTGCCTGCTGGCCACACTATTTCTGATGCAGGCCAGGATGCCGTTGGCCCTCTTGGCCACCTGGGCACACTGTCGGCTCATGTTCAGCCGAGCATCAACCAACACCCCCAGGTCCCTTTCCTCTTCACACTCATCCAGCCACTCATCCCCAAGCCTGTAACGCTGCATGGGGTTGTTGTGGCCAAAATGGAGGATCCGACACTTGGCCTTGTTGAACCTCAGCCCAGAGGTTCAGCCTGTCTAAATCCCTCTGAATGTTGGCTGGTATCTCACAATCTCGGTGTGGGACTTGCTGTGCAGTTCAGTGCTGATGTGTCTGCAGTTGACAGGGCTGTAAGTCGCTGCCGGGTGAGGGGCTCCGAGATGCATCTCGAGGAGCGGCGTGTGGCTGGCAGTTCCCTCGCTGCAGCTGTAATGGGTGAACACAGAAGCACTGGGGAGCAGCGTCCCTTTGGCTGTGCCTGCTGCCCTGCTGCGTCCCTGCCTGCTGCCCTGGCGGCACGGAGAGTGGTTTTGTGGGTGCAGTACAGGGCGCTTGTTCAGCAGCGGAGTTGACTAGAGGATGTTTCTCTTTAACCGATCCTTCGCTGTTAGGTGGCCAAGATGTTAATTAGCTCGTTGTTTCGGCTTAATTTTATGATGGTGCTATAATTGCAGCCCTCAGTTGTGCCATGAATAACTGCCGCATCTTTTCCAAATTTTACGCTGAGATATGTTATTGGTAAACTTTGCATTTGGCAGAGGAGTTTTGAAAATACTCTAAGGCAGTCGGTAATTTTTGTATTTCTTTATTTAAAAGACAGCTATTTGGCAGTTTCAGGCTTTGAACTGTACCGACAGTGTAAATAGGATATTGATTTTATCCCATTTCCTATCTCATTAGAGTCATTGTCATGAGGATGGATCCATGTTTTGTAATTATCTGCTCTCACTGACAGTTCCCGTGTCACTGAGACTCCTTTTGCAGCTTCCACTTTCTGTGAGCACAAAAATAGCGCCCGTCGCTGCCGTGCTGTTATCGTTGCTCGTTCTGATCATGCAGCCTTGCACCTCTTTCTTTAAGAGACGTGTGTGAGTTGAGATAGAGAAGACAGGAATGCCCAGCCATCCCCTTACAGGAAGAGTGAAAACAATGGCTCCTGCAGAGCCGCTTCCAGCGCCTTGCTGCTGTGTCAAGGACTGTAACGAGGAGGAAGAGAGCATCGTTAACCCCACTGCACAACATGTCCTTATAGAAACAACGGGAAGTAATAAAAATCGGACCCATTTAAGCAGAACACTGTAACCATGTGCTCCTTTTTCTGTTGGGCATTTTCAGATTGCAATTTCATTGATTTTTTGAAGCTGTTTCTTAATAATTTTCATCGACCCAGCTCAGCAGACAACTGAATCATCTCCATTACCCCCTTAAGGAATGACTGCTCAGTGTTACTTAGCCTACTTCTGCTTCTGCCCTTTCTGAGAATAGCCTCTTTATTTGCTTTTGATGTCTCAAACTTTGTTTTCACCACTTGTATTTATTTTTCTCAGTGAATACAAAGTTATACCTTGGCAGTCCCAGGACAAGTGGCAAAACATCTGGGGGAAAAAAAAAAAAAAAAAAAAAAAAGGCAGTTCCACATGGCCTGTGTGTGTGTGAAGTTCTCCTGCGGTAGGGACAGCCCGTAGGTAAATCACAAAGATGTGCATCCATTCTGCCCCGTGCTCCCTCACAGCCACTTCTGCCCTCTGGACTTGTTGCAGTGTTTCCCAGCTGAGTGCAGACACCTCCAAAGCGACATCTTATGGGCCTGCTGGCTTCTCAGAGACGATGGTATCCTTTAGGATTTGAGGCTCGCCGGGTGACATCTTTGTTGGCTTGGAATATCACAGGAGAATTTCAAAGTGATAGGAGCACAGTTTATGCAAATTAAAAGTTGTAATTGTGTGCCGAGGGTTTCCTCCAGTTTGTTTAGTGGAGAACTGAGCACGCGCCGCCGGCCCGGAGCAGTTTTTGTTCCTGCCAGAGGATTGCTTTAAAGGCTGTCGTTTCTGGCTGCTTTCGGGTAGATAAAGTCCAACAAAGCGTCTTTTCTTCAAGAAACTGCGCAGACAGGATTTCTTCTCATTCAGACGATTTCCCTGTGGGGCCGCACAGCTCCTCGGAACTGCCCTGCTCGGGGCCGGCAGAGCGCAGGGCGAAGCTCAGCGCCGTGCGCGCAGCCCCGCTTGGTCCCGGCCCGGCCTGCAGCGTTTCCCTGCGGGCGGCGGCCGCTCCGGCCGCTAAGAGAGTGCGTGCCGCGGCTCTGAGGGCGAATCGCGCCGCTTCCTGAGCGTCACCGGATTCGCTGCCGCCGCAGAGCGGGGTTCTCATCTGCTTTCGCTCTGTAATCCGCCGCCTTGCCTTCGTGCGTAGCTTTCTTTCCTGGCCGGGGCGAGCTCGGCACGGCGTGGCTTTGACCTGGCTTCGGCTTTGGCGCATAGAGAACGCGCGGCGCTTCTCCCTGTGCACATGAGCGTTTGGCGCGGATCGGGGGCAGGACGTCCCACGTCGCTCCCCGCCGTTGCCGCGGCGCCGTGCGGGTCCGCCGTGCTGCGTCGCGCCCCGGCTCGGGGCTCCTCGTGGATTCGCTCTCCCGTCAGAGCGCACCGTGCGGAAGGCGCTGCACGGCGGCGCTTGAAGGCCGCGGGGACCGCGCGCCGCCGCCCCGGACGGGCGCCGCTTAAGCGCCGGGTGCGGGCCCAGCGGTACGGACGGGGGAACCCGGCCCGGAGCCCCGGCGGGAGGGGGCGAAGGCGGCGGCGCTCAGCGCGTCCCGCGCTGCTGTACCCGGCGCGGCGGCGGCGGTGGTGAGCGTCTGACAGGCGCGACCTTTCATAAGACGGCCCACGCCATTGGCTCGCCGCCCGGAGCGCCGCTGCAACGCCGCGCGCGATTGGCCGCCTCTCCGTCGCGCGGCGGGTCACGTGGCGCGGCGGGCGCACTCACCGCTGTCCTCTCTCTCCGCAGGTCGGCCCTGAGGGCCCGCCCGACGCCGCGCCGCTTCGCCCCGCTCGTGCCGCCCGCAGCGGCACCCGGAGCCGCCGCCACCCGTAACCGAGAGACGCTGCCGGGCCGCCTCCGCGTCCCAGTAAAAGTTTGCCGGGAAAGCCGGAGCCTTCCGGCGGAGCGCAGCCGGCCGCCCCCGCCCGCTCCGAGCCGCCCGTGCCCCCCAGCGGCCGCCCCGAACGGCCCCGGCCCCGCCATGGGGTGCTGAGCCCGGCCGCCTCCCCTCCTCCCCCCGCGTGGTGACCACTCGGCGCCCCCGGCCCCATGTGCCCCTAGCGGAGCGGGAACCGCCTGGAGCCGCTCTGCTCGGCCCCGCTGCTGTGTTGGACGTTGACCCCGTAGGACCTAACGATGGCCGTCAGTGTCACGCCCATCCGCGACACCAAGTGGCTCACGCTGGAGGTGTGCCGGGAGTTCCAGAGAGGGACGTGCTCGCGGCCGGACACGGAATGTAAATTTGCACACCCGTCGAAAAGCTGCCAGGTGGAAAACGGACGTGTCATCGCCTGCTTCGATTCATTGAAAGTGAGTAAGCGTTACGTTGTTTCCAAGGGCGTGCTGTAAGGAGGAGCAGGCACGGTGGTGGAGACCCCGGAGCCCCAGGGAGTGCGGTTGCCTGCGCTCGGGATGTGCTGCTGCTGCTGGCATTGAGGGCTGCTGTCGTTCTCCGGGCCCAGGGAACGATGGACTGGCACAGAATGAGCTCCGCAGGGCTGGGGTCAGCTGGTGTGGCTGCAGCCAGGAGTCCTCTGGCCCCAGATTGCTCTGTGTGTAGATGGAGTAGAGGGCATTTCGTTCAGAAACAGCTAAGTCACTGTGGGGACTCGCTGTTCTTAATAGCACAGATGCGTAAGCAATATGGTGATTGGTTCCCACCATGGCTGCAGGCAGGCTTGTGCTGTCCCCAGCAGCGGCATGCACATCTTGGAGCAGTGCTTTCCCTCCGTGTTCCGTGGGTGTCCTGAATGCTGTGCTTACGCTGCTGCTCGGGACACACGGTTAGTTTCTGTTTCCCACTGAGGCCCAGGTGTGGGGAGGGCTGATTCCCAGCGGTGCGTGGTGCCCCTGGGTGCAGGGAGGTGACAGTGCGGTGCTGGGGCTGGGCCTGAGCTGGGCTCTGTGTATCTTGGCTGTAGCAGTCAGTGCTGAAAATGTGTGTTTGCAGCTCCTTCTCTTGTTTTTTGGTAACTTCAATTATCTTAGCACATAAAGCGCCGTTTGTAGGATGGGCATTTTAGTTCAACGTAAACATAAAAATCAAAAGTTGGGAAGCAGAAATATTGGTCTCTTCATTCTGCGTAATTTTCTCCCAGTCAGCCCCAGCCCCAGGAGCAGTGGGCAGCTGCAGCAGCAGGGCCTGTGGTGGGCTTGTACAAAGTGACAGATCTGAACTTCAAACCTGGCTCAGGTGGGGAGATGTGAGCCTTCAGGATGTCCCCAGGTCCAAAATGCCCAGCTTCACCGCGCCAGCCTGCTCTGTGTATGGGAACTGAAAGGTGTTTGTGTTGCTTCTTCAATGGTAAAACAGCAATAATTATAGCACATGGTGTCCTCACTTTGTCACTGACGGCAGAAGCCCATGCTGGGTGCTGTTGCGCTTGGTGCGGCCCATGCGCCCGGCTGGGTGTTCTGAGTGGCACTGCACTGCCGCTGCTCTGCCCCTCGGCAGAGTTCCTCTGTGCCTTAATGAAGGAGATAATTATCATCTCTGTCAGGAGCTGCGAGCCCTGGATAATGGCCGTAGGTGATGTTATGGTGCTGTGCTGCTTCAGGGTGTTCTGTTGAGGAAGGATGCTCTGTTGCCCACATCAAGTCAGTGTGGTTAATTGAGTTGTAAGCCAGGGAGGATTCCCAGCCAGATATGCAAGAAATACACTGCTTCACAGGAGTGCTTACTTGTGCTCATGGTAAAGGCGTGCTGCTGGCTTGGGGCTGGGCCACAGTAATGGCTCTGTATTGTTTTATTCTTTTTATTAGGTTAGGTAGCTTGTCTAATGTGGGAGAGTGTCTTTATCAAAGAGAAAACAATATATCTCAGCACTGAATTCCCCGTCCAGTCCCAGCAGTTACTCCTTGTGTTTGTGTTTCAGATTTTTGCAGATTTCTGCACACGCTAAGCTAAACAAGCTCTGGTCACTGTGTTATGTTTGCTGCAGTATCACAAACATAAGATGTTATGCAAAAACAACTCAGAAAAGTGTTTTGCCAAGTTGGTCTGGCTCTGGAAGCTCAGTGAGTAGGTTACAAAAAAAGAGGTTTTTCTTTTGGGACATTGTAACTTTTACTGCCTCACTCATTCAATGTGGATCATGGGTGTCCAACCTTTGGGCTTGCTCTGGGCCACATCAGGGGAAGGGGAATTGTCTCAGGCCATGTATGAAGTATATAATATAAATCATGTATGTGAGTAACAAAACTTCTTATATTTACTTAAGTTTTTTAATAAAACGTAAAAAAAGATGGCAACAAAAATATAAAACCTGCACATAAGATGGCAGGCTGGGCAAGGGGTGTGTGTGGGGGCCAGCCCTTGGGTGGCTTTGGGGTCACTTTAAGACAGAAAGGTTGAGGCTGAGCGTTCTGGTTGGGTGCTGGAGTGGCTGATTCAGCTCCAGCTCTGGCTCTGCATTGTTCAAATTCCATCAGATTTTCTTCCTAAATTTGGACGCCTCAAAGCCTGTTGAACTATCCACAACAAAAATATGCTCTTGAGGTCCCAAGTCAGGAAACTGGTTTGCAACAGAAGTCTGATTTTATGCATCATATTACAACACTTTTTTTTTTTATATTTTCCTGGAAAAATCTGCCCAAGTAGGATTCACTGCTCAAGTTCTGGTCGCTTCCCGAGAGCCGCACTGGGGATGCTGTGCAGAGGGACGGCTGTGTGCTGCAGGACCTGCCTGCAGCCGTGTGCCACCTCCTGTGCTGCTCTGCTGCCTTTCCTACCGTGCAGTTCAGAAATTTAAAAGCACAGAGGAAGGCAATGGGAAAAGGAGTGACCTGGATTCAGAGCGTGTTTGCTGTGGCCGCTGCGTTCGGCACTGCTGTCAGCAGGTGCTTCTCCACTCCTGATGGCCGTTCTGTGGAGTACGAGCTGCCTCCATCCAAACCGCTTTGGTTCTCGCTAATGTGAGCCCCATTGGTGTAAGGATGTGGTGTGATTCATTCGCTGCTTTACAGCTGGTGCACACTGTGGGCACGGCTGCTTTCAGTTCTCCTAAGTTCTTTGCCACTAGGGCTGCGGCTTCGTGTTTGTTGGATGTCCCAGTGCTGTGTGAGAGCTCGGCCGTGCTCTTCCTGCAGCAGAGGACAAGTCTCAAACATCCTCGTTCCTCTGTTATTTCCAAGTTGTCAGAACAGTTCCAGGCTGTCCTGCCGTGGCAGCAGGCAGCTCCCTTGCCCTGTGTCTGGCTGCTGCTGTGCCAGGTGTCACTGTTTGGTTGGGGAACGGCTCACGTCTCAGAAGCCAAACTCCTGAACTCTTTAATAATGACGTTTCACTTTTTGTAGAGCGGCCTTAAAAATGGCTAACAATATTGTTATCGCAGATGACACTGTGACCGCCCTATTGCTGCCACCTCACAGATGTTGTTATCATCTCCCTCCTTTGGCACTGCTTCAGAAAGCAAGAGTACATTTTTGACTTATCCTTGCCTATTGCATTAGAGTGCAGAAGAGTGCAGGGTCCAGACCCTACTTATTCACATAGAAAGAAAAGAAGATTGCAGTAAGTTGATTGCAACAAAGATGTGAGAATGGCAGATCGTTTTGTCTTCATTAAGGCAGGAAAAAGATGCAGACACCTGCTTGAAGAGCATGGCAGCAGGCCTCAGTGCCTGTGTGTGCGATGCTGTGCTGCGCAGGTAAGGCACAGGCAGCACCCAGCAGCGTGCCGGGCTCGGGGCATGCAGCTCACAGAGTAACCTTGGAGAGAAGTCTGAATGTGTGAACACTGCTCAGATTCCTCAGTCAGCTCCGCTTTGCCGTACTGACCATAGCCGGGCAGATTTGTCTCCTCTTCAGCCTGTGTGTGCCTGCCAGCAGGACAGCTCCAGCACAGGGGGCAAAGGGGGGCGCAGGCTGCTCGGCACCGGCTCTGCTGCTCGGCTGCGGGCTGCTGATGTGTATGGCGAGGAGCTCTGCTGTGCACGGCCAAAATAAGGAGGAAATTTCTGAAGTAATTTGTGGGAAAAAACGTAAGGAGGCCTACAATCAGAATACCTCATGTGAAAGGAACTCTGCCATTTGTCCTGAGCCTGCAAATGAGCCATCAGAAAGGCTGAGGGAGCCGGGTTTGTTCAGTGTGGGGAAGAGAAGGCTGCAGGGAGACCTCATCGCAGCCTTCCAGTTCTTTAAGGCAGCTGGCAGGCAGGAGGGGACCGGCTTTTTACACAGTGTGACAGGACGAGGGGAATGGCTTTACAGTACAAGAGAGAAGTTGGGTTGGATGTTGGGAAGAAATGTTTTATCAGGGGGCAGCGAGGCGCTGGCACAGCTGCCCGGAGAGCTGTGGGTGCCCCATCCCTGGAGGCGTTCAGGCCGGGTTGGATGGGGCCATGGGTGCTGATGGAGTGGTTGGCAGCCTGCCCATGGCAGGGCTCGGCACGGGAGGATCTTTGAGGGCCCCTCCAGCCTGAGCTGTCCTGTGACTGGCAGCAGCCTGCCAGGCCTCTGTCCTTCGAGGCTGACCCCAAGTCAGAGTTCCTCGGTTCTCCCGAATACAGAAGCTCTGTTGCCAGGGCTCACTCCTGAGTTTGCTGGAAGCAACAAGTAAATCACATCCAGGACCGAAGGATTACATCTGGTTTCTGACTTTGGAGCAGTGGAGGTGTATTTGCTGAGACTGCGTGGTGCTGTGAGCCCAGCAGCATCCCATGTGGTTCTTGGAAATCCAGCTGGTGTTGGGCAGGGCTGTGCAGGGTGGAACCGAGCGCATGAGCCTTCCTTTGTGACAGCACTGTACGGGAAGGGAAAAAGGGACTTTGCAGAACAGGTGCACGTGGGTAAGTGCTTGGCTGTACTGAAGTGGTTACAGGCACAGCTTAACGGAGCCTCCAGGCTCCAAAGTGAGCTCAACTCTTCAGTGCATTGAAGGACACCTGTATCTGCCCCTTCCTGCTGGCATTATCAAGGTAATATCAGTGCAGGCTCAGCTGATAGCTTAAAATATTGCCAGAAAAAGCATGTGCCGGCATTCCCCAGCAGCCCTGTGCCTTCAGCCAGCCCCTGCCCATCATTCTGGGCTTGGTGCAGCACCACTGCTTCCCGGGAAGGCCCTGCTCTGCCTGCCAGTGCCGGTGTCAAAGTAAACAGTCAGAGGGAGCTCTGGCTGCAGAGCGCTGTTCTGGCACATCTCGGGATGGTATGACTTTAGAAAAATAAATCCTGCCGGCTGTGTTTGCCGCTGATTCGTACCCAGTGACCTCCATTCAGCAGCTCGAGCAGAGCAGCAGGGACAGCTCCATCCTCGCATCCTTACTCCCTCGGAGCCCCAGTGTGCTCTAAGAGCTTCCAGCTGCCGAGCA